TGATCTTGGGGGTCACGTGACATTGGGGTGACCTTGGTTACGCCGACGCCGACGTTGCGGCGTTTTTTGTGAGATGCAACAGGTTGCATGCAACCTGTTGCATCTTCACTGAGCTGCATGCAACAGGTTGCACAGGATGCAACCTGTTGCATGCATCCTGTTACATCTTTTCTGGGCTGCATGCAACAGGTTGCACAAGATGCAACAGGTTGCATGCAACAGGCTGCATGCAACCTGTTGCATGCAACGCGCGGTTACGCCGACGGCGACGGCGACGGCGACGGCGACGGCGACGCCGACGCCGCTCAGGCTGGAAACGGGCCCCTAAGAGCTGCGCTCTAAAACGCCGCTCTTCCACCCTCGTTGGAGCATAAACGCAAATTATTCGCCATTCGAGAGCAGAAAAAAAATAAATCACAAACAACAAAACGTCCTGAATCACACGTCGTTACGGCCTGAACTGTCGCGCCCAAACTCTGGCGCACGAGCAGCAAACACCCCGCCGAGGTCCCTACCCCGTGGCTGACACATACATTATAAAGTGTCGTGAAGGGACGCACCATAAATTCGGTCCGGTCCTCGCTCTTTACTTTGGTCTCTTGCACCGCAACGATATCTAGGTCCTGTTCGCCGACCAGACGACACAGTTGCCCCTGTCTCCTGCGTTCGTTGAGCCCTCGCACGTTTAGGGTCGCAAAACGAACGGACCTTTCTAAGGAGACCGTGAGCTAGCGGGACCAGACCAAACGTACGGCGCTCACCTCCATATGCTGCTGTCGCTTGAGACGGTCAGCTGACACACCAGTTCACTGTGACAGTTTGTCACGTCTCTTCGGCGCCGAAGGCCGCTGCTGGCCTTCCGCTCCCGTCCATCCCGCCACCACCCTCCCCTTCTTCCCCACCTGGCGCAGCCGACGCCCTTGAGTGGCACCCGTAACGTCTTCGAGCGGGCGCTTCGCAGCACCCACCTCGACGTCCATCTTTTGTCCGGCTAAGTCCCCGTCAGTAGCCGGAGCTGCACCTGCCTCGACGTTGCAGGGTGATGACGCTGTCGGGTGCTCGCCCGCCAGTGGAGTGGCTGGAGCCTCGGTCGAAAGCATCCCCGGCGGTGGGGCGTTCGCCCCCTCGGTCACGGTGTCGGGCACCTCGTCCTTCTTGGGCTTCTCCGTCGGGGGCATTGCAGAAGGCGCCGCTGTTTCGGCCTCCTCCTCATCCATGAGGTGGTCGTCGGTTTCGTCGTGCGCACCTCGTCCTGCGGTCTGCGCGTACGAACGGACGCAGTCGGCCCGCTCGTGGCCAAAGGCCCGGCACTCGGTGCACCTGGGGGCCCGGCAGTCACGACGTATGTGGCCCGTCATGCGGCGCTGGAGGCAGATGGGGGCCCTCCCTGGCACGACCACGAGCACCGAACCACCGCCGAGTCGAAGCTGGTAAGGCAGGCGGTCGAGGCTGACACCCTCTCGCAGAACGAGGCGCACGATCCTGGTCGTCGACTTGGCGCCTTCAAACCCCGGCACCCTCCAACGCTCGTGCGCCACCTCCTTTACTTCCCCGAACTCGGAGAAGGCCCGGTTGATGACGTCGTTTGAAACGCCGAATGCCACCCAGCGCAGCTTCAGCCGCACCTCTTGCCGGAAAGGGCCGACAACGAGGCACGTGCGGCCTTTGACGGCAAGGCGCCCCGCTTCGAGGAGCTTCGTCTTGGCCGCGTCGGTTTTGAGGTTGAGGAGCCAGACATGGGACATCTGGAACGCCCCAATCTTGGCAACCTCACCGAGCACTCCTGCTTCACCGAGGGGTTGACGGAAGTCCTCGATGCGATATATGGGCGACAAGCCATGTCGCTGTGCAGTACGACGGCACGCTTCATCGCCTCCCCTGAAGGCAGCTGGAGCAGAACAACCCTGTAATCTTCGGAGCTGGAAAAAGCAGAGTCACCACGGCCGCCGGGGCCGTTATCGCCGCTTCGGAGGAGCTAATAATTCTGCGTCCGATTGCTGTCGCTGCCGGAAGAAGAATGCCTTATGGCTATGCCATCGCCTTGGAAACTCGTTTTGACCATTAGTTTTATACGAGATGCTTCGGCTGCAAATGCAGTTAAGCCTTCAGCATGTTATGCAAAGTACTCGTACATCACTCGCCGTACTTCACTTCTACTCACCTGCCATGTAGAGTACTTCGCGTCGTAGAACGATCCTTTTGTTCGCGCGTTTCCGGCCCAGTAGACCTGGTACACCTTGTCGTCTTCAACTACACCGCTAAAGTCCCTTATACCGTCGGAACTCACAACAGGCTGGGTCTTGTCGAGTAGAAATTCTACTAAAACATAAGACATTGTAGAGCCCGGGCAGGATTGACAGGTTGGAGAAAGCGGGCAAAACAAAACGAGTCGGAAGCGATCGTTCATGAAAGATCGGCGAAGCCTCTATGGGCGAAGCGAAGTGGCGTGTTCGGAGTTTCGGCGGGCTTAAGGTTGTCGGTCGGCTGCGTGTCATATCTCTAACATCAGCGGTTTTATGGGCTAACGTCCCGAAATCGTTTTCTTGTGCATAGATTATTTTTGTATTCATAGATTTGACGAAATAGTGGTATCCAAACGAACTTTACGTCCTTTGACCGTACGTCTGTCTGCACGTCAAAGCTTTTTGACGTACAGTCAGAGACAATCGATGTACAATCAGAATCGCCACCAAGACATCTTGATGGCATTTCGCGGCGGCCGACTGCCACCAGGAAACCATCAGAAAGCCGACAAGTGGAGTCTGACTGGAGTTTGACTGTCGGTCAGAGTAACTTGTTGGCCAATCAGACATGTTTGACGTACAGTCAGGCACAGTCAGCGGTCCACTAGAAAACATTGACTGCCAAACAGGGTTACATTGACGGATTTTTCCTTCGGGGAAGCACTTACACAGCGCTTTGTGTTTTTCTTTTTGTGCTTAGGACATGAAATGTATGCCTAAATATTTCCCACCACTTTAGTTGTAATACGAGCGCTATTATCGATAAATACTTTCAATACCAAAGCCGCAGTGGCATGCCTGCAACACTTTTGCTGTACCAGCATGTGGAGCGCCTCTTTGCTCTCAACTCGCAGCTCAACAATTGTGTCGACTATGATCGCGGACCGCCTTATAGTCTTTCAAGCACCTAAACATAACAATATTTTTATACCGTGTTCCTGATACATGCTCTTTCAAATGTGTAAACTTATGAATTCGCTCACCTGAGATAAACGCTTCCCACAGCGGCCAGAATGCGGCCAATACGGAGAACGCCAGAGAATGAAAAAACCCGCGTTTCTGGCAATTGAAACAGCAGCATGCACCCTTTGTCAGTAGTTTTATCAACTTTAGTTAAGAACATGTGTCTCAAAAACTTTAAATTTAGCGGCGTGTATTTGTATTTGGATTCCGCCTTATTTTAGTGTCTTTTATATTTAGGCCTACAATATTGTTGATCTGCGGGTTAAAGGGCTAACAGTGTTGCCCTCTGTACAAGACACATTTTTGCGGATGCTTCTGTGTGCAACAGCTCGCGCGTAAGGTAGTTAGATGTTCACATTAGAATGAATAATGTATTCCCACTAATATGTGCGTATATTTTATTGGCCATTTCTGGATCTTGCTTGTGCACGCGTTTTTGATACACACAGGTGCATGAAAAACAGGAGTCCTTTCGACGAAGTCGTTTCACGTCTTCGTCACCCTCATTGAGAGAAACTCACGAAGGGATATCCTGTGTTGTTAAGATTCTCTATGTGTTTGCACAACTGCGGCAACACGTATTGTCCTTTACCGGTCCCACTATGACTTGCTTGTTGCGCCAATTTCGTTTTTTGTCGAATGTAAACTGAACCGAACAATTGGTCTTTGATGAGGGAAAACCAGATTCCCATCAAGAAAACTTCATCAGCCCAGACTAATGCAAAACAAAACAATATGGCGGTGCTGTTTGCTCCACTATTCAGATGAAGTGACTACAGGACTCCAGAAAAGCACACAGCAACGGCAGGTATACTTTGTGTATCTGCGTGTGGACATAGACAAAGCAGAGCGGCAGCGAACGGCTTCAAAGAGGTCTGGTAGCAGAAGCATCGCAATGAGGGACGCTGTAGTAACTGTTTTAGGCTGAAACGAAGTGTAACCATGGCAGCGACCTCCAGATACAGAGCTTTGGATTCAGATTCGCAGGCATTCCACTTGGGCCGGAAGTTCCGATGTCACTGTCGCCAAAAGAAACTGTGAGACTGCTAATTTTGACGAGCCTCGTTTATAATTTTAGTTTGAACGCACCTTGGTGCAATTTCATTCTTATATATACTTTTGTATCTGTTTGGCGCACGAAATGTCTTTAGGCGCAATCGGCGCTGCAGTTCCATTCCTGTTATTGGCTAATGCTACAATCTCATTGACTGTGTAGCAACAAGATGCTCAGGGCTTGCCATGCTCTACATTTCTCCAGCTTTCATTTACTGTTGAGGTAAAGTAGTACACTTCACGGATACTCAAAACAAATTTCTGAACAATTGTAGGCACCTTTGTTCTGAGGCTCAACAGCAGGAATGCCCATGGTTCACAACAAATTTCTGAAAAAAACAAAAAACGCAATCACTTTTAAACTGGGTTGCAGGCGCCTTTAGTATTGATTAGAATTAGTGGTTTGGGAGCCCTCCATAGAACATACTCATGCCCTCCGAGAGTTCGACGATTTGCACAAGCACACGCCTGTAACGCTTCCAGAACTTCGCGAACCGCAAATTCACCAACTCGACAGTTATCTACTCCAAAACGACAGGACCAGATCCTTGCTTACCGGAATTATCGCTGACTTGCGACGAGGTGCCCTGCATGGCTTGCCACTCAGCTATGACTGCAGAGAAAATGAACATTATTTTCTAGTGTTGTGTGAATAGTGATTTTTCGAACCGAAGCGAGAGTGGGCAGAGAGGAGCGGCGGCTATGCGGTCGCTTCAAAATCCCTTCTGCTTCATTCTGCAGATTTTGGCCTTCCTTGGGACATGGTTACCTCCTCCTCGCCAGCCAGCCACCATCTTTGCACTGTCATCATGCACTGTATTCCTGGAGGCTATCGGTGACGACATCGCGCCCGTGTTCGATGCCACGGTTGCGTCCCTCCCCTTCACCAAGCCAGCATCATCGTCAAAGACAACAGGATTCTCTGCGAATTTAAGCGCCATGGCCACCACAGGACGCTTTCAGTGGGCACAAAGGAGCGGCGGCTATGCGGTCGCTTCAATATCCCTTCTGCTTCATTCTGCAGGTTCGTAAATACCCATCGTTACACGTTAAACAATCTTGTAATGGTTTTGTGCTGCTCCTCCAGTGCCCGCTGGTTCTTTTTAGAGTTGCTTATGTGCGTGTTCACGTTTTTAAGTTACTTTTGTTGTCTGGGGACGTTGAGTCAAACCCCTGCCCTATCACTAACGCTGATATTCTGGCTGCCATTGCTGAACAGTCTACGAAGAACGATGCGCGTCATACCGAAATGGTTGGCATGCTAAATCAGGTCAAAGATAACCAGTATCAACCAGAACTAAAAGTGTTAGACATCAATTTAAGACTTGCAGGAGTCGAATCACTTGTAGAATCACTAGATGTGCCAAAGCATCCTGCTGAGCTGTTTAATATTGTTAGTGAGGCCGTCCGAGGCGAAACTACCGTTCTGAATTCAAGACTTAATGAGCCTGAAGATAGATCACGTCGTGACAACTTACTTCGCTGCGGTATTGCTGCCCTTTCCGAAAACTGGTCGCCGTCGGAGACTCATATCCGAGACAATCTTTCCACGATATTAGGACTAGATTTACCTGGCGAGGCGATATCCCGTGCTCATAGATTAGGCTCATACACAACTAATAATTGCCGGCCAATAATTGTTAAATTTTTCTTCCTTTAAATTCAAGGCGAATGTATTTTCTCAGCGTTTTAAGTTGAAAGGAACAGGAATTTTAGTCACCGAGGATTCCTGTCCGGCTACGCCGCATTTACTTAAAAAGTTAATCGATTTCGGTAAAGGCATCGGTCAGAGGTTCTAACTCAGACTAAACATGTTGCACGTTAACCAAAAGGTATATACTTACTGCCCTATAACTGATTGTGTTTGTAAAGTGACTCCTAGTCCTGCTCGTGAAACTAACAGCACTGCGTCTCTCCCCCTGGGCGTCAATAATACGGTTTCCTCGCCGCAATCTGGCACCGATAATGCAGTTTCCGCACCTGTCCCAGGCAATAATTCACACGCGCCATCAACATAACTATCTAAAGGCCCGGCGACTAACACCATCTCAATATTGTATCCTAACGTGCGAAGCGTGTGCACCAAACGCGATACCTTGTCATCTTTTATCGACACGTGTACAGCTGATATTGTTATCCTTACCGAAACGTGGCCATCTAGTAAAATTGCTGACAGTGAAATTTTTGAGTGTGAAGATATGTACAAACTTTATCGTTTCAATCGTGACTCGCGCTCAGGTGGCGGTGTTCTCATCGCTGCTCGTGATTCTATGATATCAAGCGTTGTACCTCTTAACATATCTTTAGAGTTTGTGTGTGCCCGGGTACATGTCAGGAACAAGGATTTTATTTTTTGCGCTTGCTATCGACCCCCGCTTCGTCTAGTACATTTTGCTCTGAGCTTCACGATGTTTTAGATAGACTGGTAGTACGGTTTCCTTCTTCGTCTTTGCTTCTACTGGGGGATTTTATTTTCCCACAATTAAGTGGAGAAGCGACACTCCCACAAGAAATGGTCACTCATCACAGGCTTTCTTTTGCCTTGATTTTAATTTAAAGTAACCTGTACAAGAGCCTACCCAATGTTCATCTCATTCTTCCAATGTATTAGACCTCATCCTCCCTACAACCTCTGAGCTTGTGTCTCCTTTAACGTATTTACCAGGTTTAAGTGACCATTGTGTTATTTAGTTTGACCTGCAGGCATCTGCTTCCTCATGTGAAGCATTTAATATTATTCGCGACTACCGAATGCCAATTTTGTTTCAATTAATAATGAATTAGACACGTTTCTAACCGATTACATCTCACGTTTTCATAAACGAACGGTTGAAGAAAGTTGGTCCCTCTTTAAACAAAAAGCGAGTGACCTCACTAACCAGTACATCCCTCTGAAGCGCATCCTCTCTAATTCACAGGCACCTTGGTTTAACGGACTTCTTAAGCGTCTGCGAAATAAAAAGAAACAGTTATTTCGACGCGCAAAACTAACAAAATCTGCTGAGCGCTGGCACGCATACGAAGCTGCTGATACGGAGTATAAACAAGCTGTCGCACAATCAAAGCAGGAATTTTATCAGTGTACAATTTTTTCTCTTTTAAAAGATAACCCACGAAACATTTGGAGCGTGGTCAGTGGTAGGAGATCCAGTGCGATTGAGCTTTGTGATGCGAATAATGTTCCTGTAGATCTAAACGATGGTTGCAATGTCATGAATGATGTGTTTGCTTCTTATTTTTTCCGCACGACTTTTGCCTGTTATCCAATTGTTTTAGCGCTAATTTTAGTCCTATGTTTCGTGTTAGTATTGATTCATTTGGTGTCGACTGTTTAATCCAGAAGCTTAAAATTGCCGCGTGTGCTGGGATTGACGGAATTAATTCAAAGTCCCTGAAGAGCACCGCCACCTATTCATCTTTGATTCTTTCCGAAATTGTCTCACAGTCTTTGCAGTGTTGGACGTTGCCCAACGATTGGAAGGTAAGGAAGGTGGTTCCTTTGCATAAATCAGGTACTGTTCACTCCCCATTGAACTACAGGCCCATATCAATGACTAGTGTGCCGTGTAAATTACTTGAACATATAATTTACTCTCACCTTGTTGCCTTTCTCGAGTCCAATTCTTTTTTTACTAATTGTCAACACGGGTTCCGAAGATTGTTTGCTTGTGAAACATGGCTTGTATCGTTTAGTAATGACTTGTCGGTTGCTATTGATGGCGGGCTAATAGTTGACTGCATTTTCTTAAAGTTTGCTAAGGCTTTCGACTCTGTCCCGCACGACCTACTTTTCTTGAAACTTAGTAAACTTAATATTGATCCTAACATCTTGGGCTGGATTAATTTTTTTTAATATAACCGCTCACAATATGTTTCTGTCAATGGGAATAATTCTTCTACTACTCCTGTAACGTCCGGTGTACCACAGAGATCTGTCCTGGGGCCTCTCTTGTTTTTAGTCGGCATTAACGACCTCCCATCGCAAATTGTCTCCTTTATAAAGCTGTTCGCGGATGATTGTGTACTGTATCGCGTAATTATTAATGCCCAAGAGTGTGCTATACTACAGTCAGACCTCGACGTAGTTTCTTCCTGGTGCCCTGAATCCCTAATGAAGCTTAACGTTACTAAATGTAAAAGCCATGCGTGTTTCCCGACTCTCTAAAAACATTGACCCTGCCATATACATCTTTAATAATATACCATTATATTATGTTGCTTCATACAAGTATATTGGTATTCACATAACTCATAACGTTTTCTGGAACATGCATGCGACTATGTCTTTAATAATGCTAATCGTATCCTTGGATTTTTGCGACGCCATTTCCGTTCCGCTGATCTTCCGGTCAAACTTCAATTATATAAAATCTTAGTCAGGCCAAAACTCGAATACGCCTGCCTGTTCCGTTTGGGATCCGGGACATGTAACATATGAAACATTCTCGAATCAGTCCAGAACCGAGCAGCCCGTTTTATCCTTTCTAATTATTCTCGTACTGCTAGTGTTTCATCAATGAAGACAACTTTGGACTTACCTGACCTCGCTTTACGCTGTAAATAGTTTTGTCTTTGTCGTTTCCATAAATTATATTATACTAACCCAATTCTAAAAGATCAATTACTTTTTCATACGTCATATGTGTCACCTCGCAACGATCACCAGTGTAAGGTTGGCACGCCGACAAGTCATACGAACATCTATTTTGACTCTTTTATTCCAAGAACATCTAACGAATGGAACCACCTCGCTGCCTCAATCGTGACCATTCAGGACGCCACATACTTCAAGAAATTCGCCAACGATTTCATCTGTATCACCCACTCCTCTCTGTAGAGCCTCCGGGCTTTGAGAGTATGAAAATAAATAAATAAATAGCGGAGACAGCGAATCGAATATGAATTGAATAATTTTCGAATAGATGGTGCACTGTTTATAAAGTATAATGCTCATTATGAGTCATTAGAAACTATTGTAGTAACGCAAGGCTAGCTAGGTGAAAATGACTCGAATTGAGAGCTGCAAAAGATAGCAAATTAAAATGTGTGAGTTTGCCGACTACACCAGCATTTTGGTGTCGCTAAATGAGGAAGCAGCACAAGAATCACGTGAACAAATCCATTCCGCAGCACTGAACACTTAAAATACGAGTGAAACAGGGAAAACCAAGAACGTCAGAATGCTGAATGTGAGCTCACGTTATATCACAGAAAGCAACGTAGAGAGCTTTGTAACAAAACAAAATTCTACTTTGAATCACATTCCCTCCCAAAAGCCACATGGGGGCGGAAGCAGTTTAAGATTATGATTCAAAGCGTGCGAGAAATATAATAATAATCGTCATTAGAAAAAGGTGCTCAGGGCGGCTCGCAAGGCTAGGCAGATAGGTATGGTTCCATACGCATGAGCGTCTGCTAGCAATCCAGTTTCGCGAGAATGTCTGCAGTTGACCCTGGATGTAGCAGCAGACGGGTAAAACAAAGTCGTGGGACTAGAGACAAACTGGCACTGCTGGTGACTGGGGAGCCTACATGGAAATTTTTGAGAGAAAAGCGTAGTGACATTTTATGGCATGTATGACAGGCAGGTAAGCGCCTATGGAGAGAAATTCGCGGCGCTGAACCGTTGCAAAACTGGTTCCGACTATTCGGAAATTATTCGTGAAATATTCGGAACCTTGAAAAACAACTATTCGCCATTCGAATATTACGAATATTCGTGCGTCTTCCAGCATTTCACACGTTACATTTTACACTGGCTTTTAGGTAGTGCTCAGGCTTTTCAACTCACCTCTCATCAGAGAGCAGATTTGAAAGTGAACGCGATTACTAAAATTACCTTGCTTCTCCTGTGATTTGAAGGCCTTACAGAGACTGAAATAAAAAATAAATACTCACCTCTAGCTTGGTGGTTCGTGAGGCTCTTGAAGACCTCATAGACATCAGCCGTCAAAGTTATTGCTTCGCTTCCCGCAGTAGCCATGGCCATGCTTCGATATGAAGAAAGTCACAGTGCAGAAAATTGTGTTCTTTGCACGTAGCGTGGGTACGGTAGCACCTCGTTGGACCGGCACAGCCAAGGAGCTCAAGGAGCACAGCACAACGAGGTTGTGCCTCAGCGAATGGAAACTCCCGTTCTCTTTGCTCAGTGATACTTGCGAGAGTTTAGGAGGTAACTAGAAAATCGAAGGGAGCGCCACTTGCGGGTAGCAACAGCAGCAAACCGCCACCTTCTGCCGCTCCGCGTTCGGGTGGTGAGGGTCACGTGGTACGCCGCCGGCGTGAGTTCGGTTGCCGGTGCCACCGGCGGCGCGGTCTTGCTGGCGATTGACCACGCGAATTTGCCATTAGTAGGACCCGCACCCTCATCCCCCGGCGCATTTTCATCAGTTCTCAGGGTCCCTCCAGGCAAAGCAGCCTGTGTCGATGGCCACGCGTTCCGGCGTTCGGGTTTCATTCCGTGCTGACTGTACCTAGATACCTTTTCGTATGAG